GCAATATAAAGACACTTTTGAGTGAATAAAATGTAAAGAAGTGAAAGTCTGACTGAACAATCTTCACTCCGGACCTTCTATGAATTTGTCTAAACCCTTTCTACATAGATGTCTGTCTATAGTGCTGTTTGATGACATTGTATCTTCAGGATATTTGCAAATTCCTTAGTTTAACTGTAAGAATGAAAAAGGCATGCCTGATTTATTAATTGTTAAGGTCAATCTTAAATAAGGACGCTTTAAGATTATACTGACAAAGGCCTCTTGGCATTAGAGCATGTGACAGACACAAGAAGGTTGTCATATAAGAACCATATTTTCAAATACATGCAAAACTTCAGAAAGCCAATGTCACCTAAACTGGATAGGTAGGAGCAAGTATACCTCACCAAATATGAAACATGTAGATAGAAGAGACCAATAGAGACAATGGTGCAGCAAGTTGGGGATCTGGTGAGTCAACTTCTCACTAAGTTCCACCGCTTGAATGGTCCAGCTCTAATTGTGACTTAGTACACTAGCAACAGAATCTTTGTCAGTATATCCTGAGATGATGCATCATTCTTACTTAAACAGTGTGAAGCTCTTCAGATAACTCCTTAACTCCACATTTCCCAAGATTAATGTTATGTGAAACAGTCAGCAGAAGAGGTATGCCCTAAAAGATTTATAGCCAATTTTGTATGAAGTACTGTAACACTGAAATGGTATACTTCAGAAGTTTTACCCTAATGTTAAACTTAAAGGTCTAGCAATGAAATTTTTATCATTAATGGATAGTAAGATGCTCAGAACTATTTGGCTTATATCTGTGCATGTACCCTTTAGTCCACGCATCACACTACAAAATCCTAATTTCCATTAACTGCCATTTTAATTTACCAGCCTGTAAGCAGGAACTGTAATACTGAAGAAAGGAAGTACCAGAAAAGCTAACAGCATAAGAAGAAAAATCTTAGCCGACAACATATGGCATCCATAGCTGAATCAGGACAAAAGACTTACTGAAACTCTGTGCATCTGCAGTGTGAAAATACAATTGCTGAACAAGAACAAAGCAGGTGCAAAAATGCCCATGTCAAGTAGGATCTCTTTAAAAATCCTACTAACATAGTCATTAGAAAAGCAATTCTGGCTCCCCCCCCCACTACTGTGTTTCCTTGTTACAAAGGCTAAACTTCATCTAGTTGGATATAACTAAAACGTCTCTTGTGTCACTGGATCTGGAGCAGCACATCAACCATATCTTACCTGCCAAACATTTATTGTGTGGATCTTTATTTTATACAGCTTTATCTACTCATTAATGTGTGATTTAAGCAAATTAAACAAGCAAGCCTGTTTACTTCAGCAAAATTTAGTTCCTGTTTATCAGCTGCTTTGCATAAACAAAAAATTACCTTTAAATGGCGGGGTGAATCTAGCTAAATGCAGCATTATGTACTTCAAAAGGCAATTACTGACTCCATATCATCCAGAGAAAATGCAATATTTATAATCAGATTTGTAAACCACTTTCAACATTAACAATAACTGAAATGAAAATAATTACAAAAAGGAGATTTTAAATTATTCTAATATAGAACTAATAATCAAATTCTGTATTTAAAACCAACTAACACAGCTAATAGAATATCTACTACTTTGTACAGTCATGAGAAAGACCACTATTGAAAAATACTGAACATCACAACCACCACTGGAAGTGACCAAACACATTGCCTTGATTGCAAGGTCTATGCAGGAAGCTTCGGTATGTATGTTCAAAGCTACTGAAAAGGTAACATGATGTAGCAAAAAGACAGAATCCTACATTTCAACAGAAAAATACAATGAATTCACAAAAGAGCTTCCGTTCTGTTACCAGACTAGCTCTTGAATTGATACACTCCAGATGTTTTGGATTATCAGTGATGATCATTGTTGCACATCAAAATATCTGGAGAACAACACGTTTGGGGAAACATAATTTGCACGAATGTCATATCATAGAGCAGTCAGTATCTTATTAGTATCCCAACTGAAAGCAAACCAACTGAATTGAATGTAAATCCCACTGGGTCAGTAAGTCTACTTTGTTGGGGTTAGATCTTTCCTAAGTCAACAGAGAAAAATAAAATTGGAGGGGAATATCAGGCACCTTCCTGCTGTGGATATAGTGACTGGTCTATATACTCACATATTCCAGAAGACAGTTGTGTGGATGACTATTCTTTTGGATACCATTTTAATTTCCAAACCACAAAGCAGAGAGTTAGTAGAAGAGCATTACTTTTTTAACACTTGTTGTTGTTGTTTAGTCGTATCTGACTCTTCATGACCCCATGGACCAGAGCACTCCAGGCTCTCCTGTCTTCCACTGCCTCCTGGAGTTGGGTCAAATTCACGTTGGTAGACACTATCTTCTAACACTTTCTAAGCAATATTTTGGCATTCTATGATTGCACTCTATCACTCAATACGTCAGTGTAGTTTACTTAAGATTAAATGCCAGTCTGTTATCATAAAGGGATTGATCCAATTTCTTTGCAGTTCATTTTAGATGTTACTTTATTTTTAAACTCGCATTTTTATACTTAAACCAGCAAGAATACTGTTAAGCATACAGCAAAACTATGAAAAAGGAAGCTTTCTATCGAGCTACCTGCCTGCCACTGGTTAGTATCTGATTAACATGTTATAGCTACATTATAACTAATAATTACATAACAAGTGGAAGTTAAATACTGTACAGCTTGTCAATATGTTTAATTGATATATAACCAACTGAGGAAAAAAAGAAACCAATTAAACACATTAAGAAATATTAAGAATTCCACCTGCATTTGTAAAAAAAATCTGTAACTGTGTAGAGAACTAAAAACAGAACTAAGAACCACTGGTCAGAAATCCAACTGTGCCAATGTAATTATCCACACAGTTTTTTTGTCTGAAAAAACAACTAGGTCTTCAGAAGCTTCATAAACCCACTTGTGTTAATAAATTCTACATGTCATGCTTGTCGGCTATAACCCTGACATACATATTTTGTTTGCTACCTCCCTTATGAAAAAGGGGCAGAATGTTAATTCTCACCCAAGACTGTGAAGAACATTAAAAATGCGGAAAACTTCAGAACTAATGAAGTTAATTTTGGTTGTTGTGGGTTTTTCGGGCTCTTCAACAATGTTCAGAACACGGCCAAAGAGCCCGAAAAACCCACAACAACCATTAGATCCCGGCCGCAAAAGCCTTTGCGAATATACTGAAGTTAATTTTGATTAAACAGGGTATAAGAAGGAGTAAGGGACAAATAAAAGCACATAGAGGGCACAAGAAGGGTTCCAAAGCAAAATGACCTGACAGTCTGGCTTCTGGAGAAGAAGAAAAAGTACCTTAACAGGCCAAATCATCCCAGCAGCAAGAAAAGCCAAAACCAAACTCCACTTTTTAGTACTATTCTTGATATGACAACATAGCATATAGGAAGAAATGTGCAAGGGCTCCATAGACCTGGAGGCTTCCACTCTCCCCAGAATATCTAACTACAGAGAAAACATCATCCCAGAAAGAATCTTTTCCCTTCACTGCTTTTCAAAATTTAGTTTGGGGGGGGGGGTCACTGGTTTGGAGACAACTACTCTTGCTGCCAATATCAATAGGTCAACAAACAGAATCTTCTTCCACAACATACCTTGGGCAGGAGACAAAGATTGCTATGCCTCTAAATCAGTGATTCTTAACGTGGGCGATAATGCCCCCCAGGGGGCGATTTCAGTTTTCAGGGGGGCGGTAGAACGAAAAGGGGCGGTGTGGGGGTGCTGGAGCAAGCCAAACCTGTGAAGATGGCTGCAGCCTTTTTACAATGTGCATGAATATATATTTTCCTCCAATCTTAATTTAGTTTCAGAGTTTTCGTCTTGAAATTTTTAGTTTCTGCATTGCGGTTTGTTTTTATGCCCTTTTTATATTTCTTTTTGCGTCTTAAAATTCACTTGCAACTAAATCATTAAATGTTACTTTTGGGGGGCATTTCATTTTCTTGGAATTGAATTTTGTTTCCAGGGGTCATTGGATTTAAGTGTCTTAAATAAATAAATAAATAAATAAATAAGATATCATCACCGCGGGGAGGGGGGGCGATGATAACTTCCTCAATGGCTCAAGGGGGCGTTTCTTTCAAAAAGGTTAAGAATCACTGCTCTAAATCACCGAAAAAGGGGTGAGCAACAGATATCCCCTTACAGCAAAAATGCATCAGATTGCATTGCAAAAGCATCATCCTATAAACTGAACACATACCATGACAACACTCTCGAATCAGCCTATTCAGCCACACTACACGCTGTTCCAAGTCCTCCATACAGACCACTTGACCATAATCTTTCCGGACTGAAGGATGCCCAACAACCATGACAACAGTACAATGTTTGGGGTGTCACCTTAAGGCGGCTGTTGTAGATCAGGAAGGGCCCAAACCAGCATCCCCAGAAATTCAGGTGGAGCAGGGAGTGAGAGACAGAACATTTACATCTACTCATACCTTACTTGTCAAACACATGGGGAAAACCTCACCCCTTTCACAGGTAGAAAACCAGTACACGGGCTACTTACATGCTTTGAAAAGGATGTCATTTTTTAAAAACTACAGCAGGTTTTAAACAGAGCTGCTCTCAGAAGGTGGGGGATGCGGCAGATATATCTATCCCGGTCCCCACCCGCCCAGGAAAGAAAAACACTGGGTGACCTTGGAGCCCCTCACTTTCTCCCTCCCCCAGCCGGGCCTCCCACGCAGGGCTGAAGGGAAGGAGGACCGGGCGGAGAGATGAAGACCCATTCACACCGCCTCAGGGATCCCCGGCGGAAAAGGCGGTCTACAAAGGCCCGCTCACAAGCGGAAACCAGGGGCTCGGGTGCGTGCCCTCCGGCCAGGACTGCGCCCCACATTCCCAGATACCGATTCGATTTAAAGGGGGGGGAGAGGAGGAGAACGGGAGGCAGGCGCTCCCCTTCCCACTGACCTGTCCTCCGAATCCATCCGGCTGAGAGGCTCCCCGTCCGAAGAGATCTCGAGGCTCCCGCGGCGGCCGCCGGACAAGG